TTCAATAACGCGAATATTTGAAATATGGCATCCGCCAAAGTTTACCCAAAACATCCTCATGCATGTTACTTATTACGGTAAAAGTTCAGCCAAAAAATATTTTGTGCGACCGGAGATATTGTAGCGGCAGAGGCATTGAAAGTGAATAAAACTCTCACCAGTCTTGATCTTGGATACAACAGAATATCTGTTCGAGGATGTGAAGCACTGGCAGAGGCATTGAAAGTGAATATGGGTGTACATGTTTGTTACTAATGTTTTTATTTCATACATTCGCATTTCGGTGTTCTTGTTATCTACGTACGCTTCAATTTTGTCGTGTTTTCTAAATGTTACTAAATTTCCCGACTTTACTAATAAGATAGGTGAGTTGGCTTTGTCTTTTGCTTAGCGCTTCTGCGGAACGTACATGTTGTATGGTAAGAGAATAAGGTTGAAAATAGTTGAAGTGTCTGTTGATCTGGAATAGAGGCAAGTTAAGACTTTTTGACAACCTATAGCTTAACCTATAAAGGGTTTCACAACCTAAACCTAATCTAACCTATTAGTGTTTTTAATAACCTAAGCTAGGTTAACCTTGTACAATCTTTTGCAATTTTTTCCCTAAATCTGGTTTCAGAAGCCTAAACTTCAGCTTTGTTCCAGATCGTTATTGTTTTTTTATCTAAACACCGTCTGGTAAAGGTAAGCTTATACAAAAGAAATCACGTTTTCCTTGAATATAGAAGGAATCGGTTGAGTCTTTTATTCTTTAATGCAGTTTTTGAAAAATAGCTTTCTGAATAGGGACACCGTCTGAAGAGTAGACCAGAATTTCACTTTAGGCTACGAAGGTTCTGTTATTGTAGTGTATTCGCCATCTATTGTTAGCTAACGCAAGTTTTTTCTCTGTACTTCGTTTTTTGATTGTGCTATTTTTCAGTTTAAAAATAGTTTATTTAAACTAGAAAACGTCAGTCTGAACTTCATCCTCAATCGATAAAATTCCACTTGGACTACGCTTTATTATTCAGAGTGTTGACTGTCCTGACGTAGTCGTGTAAAATCGTTTTTTTTTCGTTTAGGTTAAAAATAGGTTTCCAGTAACGTAACCTACAATCTAACCTATAAAAGATTTCGTAACCTAAATAACCTATAGTAAACCTATAGGTTAGGTTAGGTTAGGTTAGGTTTAACCTGCAGAGTTCTAATGTGGAACAGCTGTTTACTTGAAAATTTTTATTTCCGGTTGAAGTGTAGATCAGAAGTTTTTCTACGCAGACTTAGTCATGATGATCTTCATAGGTGTTAAATGAAAAGTTAGGACCATCAGCTGCGATATGATATGCTGCATTGCGTTTGAAATATATTCCTCTCGCATGGGATGGGACATTTGCATCAGCCGTCTGGACGAAAATTAGTGTTAAAATGAACTTGGTCCAAAATATTTTTTATATGTTTGAGCAGTCGGTAGGAATCAATGGTACCCTGAAACAGGAATCTACCAGCTGCTATTGCGCATGATTGTGGAAAATACTTCAAGAACTGCCTCGGCAAAAATTGAACTTTTCTGAAAACACATCCGAATATGTTCGCACACTAATGTGCTTTTCCAAATAAGATCTCCAGGCAGACGTAAATTATGGCCAAGTAACCGGCCAGAATCTAGTGAAAGTCGAATTCTCGAAAGTTTTTATAAAAACAACTTTTAGCTGAAATTTGAGCGAACGACGATGTAGTAGCGACATCAGAGCTGGAACCGGTTGAGAAAAGATAAACCGGTCCGACCAGTAAACGGGCCGTTTGGAATTATAACTTAAACCGGGGAAAAACCGGCGAGAATCGGTAAAATACCGGGGAAAACTTGGTGAAGTTAAAACAAGTGATGAAAATATAAATAAATATTTTGTTTCTATAGAACTGCGTGCTTCGGCTTTGGCTATCGAATGGTAAAAACTGCAGTTAGCTGCTAGGTGCACCAGATCAAAATGATAGAATGGAGAGCGTTCTTCGTCGAAACGGATAATAACGTATCTTTTTTGGTTTTCGCTTATTTTTTCGCAAATTTGTTAACATTTTTCAATAGCTTTCGCATCTCCCATTTGCATCGAAAATCAAATTGCTTATAATTCTGTCAAAATCCATCCGATAGTCATAAAAGTCTTCTGATACAGATAACTCAACCTCTCCTACAAACTGGCAAGGTCAAAATCGACTTTTATCTAACAATGGATTGGATCTAGAGATTTGGTTTTCTAGAAACAAGTCATCTAACGTTTATGGGCAGTCCCTATTATATTATGATGGACATGTATATCTACATGTCTTTTGTGTAATAGGAGATGATTCATTTGGAAACATTTCTTCGTGAATTATGAATGACTAGTTTTAAAAATCGATTGTTATTTCAAATAATGCTTGTTTTTGAGGAGTAACAGCTAACCAAATAACTCGTTGTTGTTGATCGTATGCAAAGCAATCGATCAAATTCGCTAATGGTTCAATTTGAACTACAGTAATCCAGTTTTCCACAGATTGAAATTGTACAGCTCCATTAAATGAAAATGAATGAGCCGGTGATTCGAATGGAATTTGAAAAATCATTAAACGTCTCAATGGATCATTCACTGAATACATAGTGAAGATGACAATGAATTACAGCGTTTTAAATTTATTTCCATTCCATCCCATACGATACCATTTGCTTCACCGTTTTCATTTAGAAATACCCATAGTGATTTATTCAATTTGGACAATTATATATCTTTATTATGATATATGAGGCTATCTCCTTTTGTAAATCGTTCCTAAATGTAGAACATAAGAACGATTGTACAATGAAGTAGATTTATTAGATGGATTTAATGTAAAAACACTTGGATCTAACAGTGGAATAATTGAACCGACACGAATAAACAATAGAATTGTGAATAGATCAACTTGTACATTCATTATCCATTGTCCACCTGATAAAATTTGATTTAAATCAATTCGAAATCGACCATCTGTTCCACTATCATATTGAATATTCGATGATATATCAATCCACTTCTCATTTTGTGGCAAATATATATTTTGTAATAGTTGATTTTGATTAACAACAAGTGAAACAAGAAAATCATTTTCAAATGTAAAAGCATATTCTTGTTCAATAGCAGTTTTATCATTAAAATAAGATAAAAGATCATGTCGGGCAAGTGGTAAACCATTTAGATGTGCTTCATGTGCACTTGTATAAATATAAGGAAATAATGTTGTACGTAATTTTGAATATTTTCGCTATGCAAATTCAGTCTCATTGTTTGAAAACATTTCTATATGATTTTGTGTACATGCTGAACCTTCAGTTTCATCATGCATAAAACCGGCAAATGTTCCAATTTGTAACCAACGAACCAATAATTCTGTAGATAAATTAGAATAAAGCTCACATACATATCCACCAATTGGACTTGAACAATATAATAATTCCTAAACCTAGACAAGCTTGTAAATGTGCTGGTAAATCAGAATAGATATTCCAATCAGAACTAGCATCACCAGTCCAATGTAATTGAGAATTAACAACACTATTTGTATATCCACTACGAGTATAATAAATTAAATTTGATTGATAATTAAGATGAAGATTATCGGATTCTTGATGTAATTCTCCAAGTAAATTAGAATTCAAATTTAATAAGAATTAGTTTAAAATGTTTTATCATATTTGACATTGTCATTTCATAAACAGTTTTTTGATATAATTCAATGAAATGATTATGCATTGATAAACCATTTTCACCATTGGATGCAAAACTATTTATCGGTGTATATTCACCAAAATCAAGCATAAATCCATCAAAACCTAATGTTAAACTTTTTGCTATTTGTTTTTGATACCATTGTCCAGCATTTTCATTACTAAAATCGATACTCCCAACAAAAAAATGTCGACTAATAATATCACCATCATAAGAAAATAAATATGGTAATTGTGAATTATTTTTAAGAAAATAATCATTTGTCAAACATTCGTTAAATAATCTCGTATATTTTGTTGATACGTATGGATTAAAATAACACAATGTTGATACACCTAATTGATGATAAGCATCATTTTCAGCAGTAATATCAGCTTCATGCCCTAAAATAATCAACGCGAATTATAACTAGATATATTAACTAGATTGCAATTGTGCTATGCACAAGTTGCCATGTCGACAGAATCTGCATGTAAGTGGTCACTTACAGAATCAAAAAGGGTTCCACAAGATCGGTTTAACTGTAGTCGTTATTTCAGTTGTTAAAAATCGAGAAAAAACTATTGTCATTGATTGAACAGAGGAAAAAAGTAACAAAAAAAGAGAAAGTTTTGTTTCCATGTAATCAAAAATTAGAGTTATTAGAAGCGCCTAAACAAACTGAACAAACAGACAATAAGGAAACAAACTCTTGTTAATCACATTCGTTTTCTTCGTAACAAATAGTGCCTTACAAGAATATGTGAAAAATTCAAAGTCCGAAAGACAGTTTTGTTCCGCTTCTGGACCTTGTGGCACCATGGTGCACATTAAGACCATTTTTCAAGAAGAGAACATGGGTCAATCTTCAGTGACCGAACAAAATATTTCTATGTAGCCTAGTTTTCTAGATCATGTCGTGAACGTCAAGAAAAAAAACCACAGAAAAAGCATGCAGAAACGCATTATGTCTGTTACCGTAAAAATTCGAATAGATTTTCATACAAGGAAAATTCAATTAGTTGAGTAAATCTAATTTTTCAACCTTTTTATTTTTGACATTTCATCAGCGATGTTCACTTTATCAGATGAAAAATAAATTATGTAGAAATGAGCACCTCCCAAGCACGAAAAAAAATCATGAATCGGGCGCTGCATCTAGATTAAAAGGTACATTTATCTAGCTTCAGCTAGCTGCACAGAAATACATGAAAATTTTATCTAGCTTCAGCTGGATTGAAGCTAGTTTCAACTGAGTACAACTAGTTGCTATCGATTAATCGGGCAATTCATTGCTCGATTAATCGGCCCATGCAGTGGCCGTTTCAGCTAGTACACAATTTCAACCATCATGCAGCTAGATAAATGTACCTTTTAATCTAGTTAATCTAGCTGTAAGTGGGCGCTGCAGCTACTTCTGCAGCTAGATTTTC